TAGCTACAACTTTTGTAAAGAGTGCACAGCCATGCAAAGCTTCTAAGTTGGACTTTTGAATCAGTCAAACGATGACACTCAAGGGTCAATTCAAGTCAAAATCGCACTTGAGGGCATTTTGGTCATTTTGATCTACATGAACAATGTTCCAACAAGTAAACTAAGTATAGTTAAGGTGTATTAGACCATGATCAACCATTTTACAAAGTTGTTATACCTCTTCTACTGATCACATGTGATAAAGAAAGTAAAACAAGCAATTCATACATATGTTTCAATACAATGTTCCACATGTTGCGTGACCTTGTTGTTATACTATACTTGTCACACTACTACCCTATTGCCATGCTTCAAGACATGGGAAATTCATGTTTCATTGTTATGTTGCACTACTACCATTCACAAACAATCTAGTACGAAACAAACAGAATATGCGAATGTTTCATATGTATGTTTCAGGGAAAATGACATGATGAGATAAATGATGCACATGTTTATGAGACGAATTGCAATTAGCAGAAGCCAAACACCGAGGGTGTTACAGCATTTGCATAGCACAGCTGGGGTATACTCTAGTGGTCCTTCACGATAGGGGATGGGTGAGGACGAATCGCCATGGCGATGCCATCGTGACTCTTGGGTCCCCAAACTTTGGCTGGATCCGCTTGAGGTCGCCATAGACGACTGCGAAGGTGGCGGCGGAGGACTCCCAGGCAGAGGGGAGACTGCGGACGCAGAGGCACCGGAGGAGAGGATGTGGTAGCGGCTACGGCGATGGAGGCGGCGGCAGCGTCTAGGGTTCGAGGGAGAGGAACTGAGAGGGAGAGAGAGAGAGAGCTGACCGGGGCGGCTCATTTTTTTTACCCGCGTGGAGATCCAACGTGTCCGTCAACGCCAGCGTGGCCACTCAAAACCGGGAACACGTCACCACAAACCGCCTCAAACTCGCCGAGGGTCTTAAATTGAACGGGTTTGCAAGTTTCGACGCCTAGATCAGACGGTTTTGTACTTGGGGGTAAAAATTAGACCGACATGAGAGTTGAGGGGCCAAAAGTGGACTTAATCCTCTTGATTAATGATTAACTTAAAGATAAAACTAACATAAAGAAAACTCATATTACAGGAAATAAATATATTTGCCAATTTATAAGATAAATTATAATGGAATAAATTTGATGGATTTGTAAACTCCAAACTCAAGAACATTTGTTCAAAAATATAAAGTATCTCATACTAAGATGACATAAGCATCATTAAGAACTAAGTTTAAAACTAATCTAATGCGAAGCTCCAAGACTCGACTTTATCTATATTCCATCAATGGCTTCTTAGACTTTGCTCCCCTGGTTTGGCAAGACCTGAGGAGAAGTTAAGATATGCATTATTGCACCTTAGTTAATCCACCGTATGTTGAGGAAATATCTTAAGTAAAATTTATGAGACAACTTAAATTACCTGTCTTTCGAAGCCATTCTTATACTTATCATCAATTTGGTAACTTGCAAAATTTGCAGACTATTGGAAACTTATCATTTTGAGCATGTTTGTTATGGTTTTCTGGCATAGAATTCATAAGGCAATTTACCATAAACTTATCAGCCACATCTAATCCAAGTGCCTTTAACTCATAAGCCATATCAAATAAGCTCTTAACGTGGTTACCCAGACCACTTATCCCATCATAACGGGAATTAAGTAACTTATCAAAAAGAAAAATCTTTCTAAAGTGTGCTCTTATGGAGTTGTGAAGCTCCTTAGCACTTAATTTCCTGTTATTTTCATTAGAAAGGAACCTCCGGATCATGTTAACTGAGAGCGACCATTGTAATTATTTTGGCAATCCTATCGGATTTCTACCATTTTTCTAATTTTGGAATGTGCTCCTTCATCCTCTCTGCATAGTACACACAAATAGGAGAAGGAGCACGTGGTTTTTCCTCATGAAGCACACAATCAAGGTCCAGCTCCTTGAGAATGGCATGCACCTGATTATTCCAAGTAGGAAAATTAGTGCAACTTAGGGGTTCTATTTTACTTATATAGTCTGCATAATTTACTGAAAAATTCAAAGCAAAATAATGTCTCAATTAGTAAGCTGTATATAAGATGTACTTAGAGCATGAAGTTAAAATAACGTTGGTCAGTATTAATAGCATGCTTAAGAACTTTAATTTGCATCACCGTTGGGCAGAAAACAAACCAAAATTCATCTTAAATAACTTATATTTAAAGTCCACGTTGGTCTAAAATTAACTATGAGTAATCTCCGGTTAAACTTCTCGTTGATTCTATTCAACCAGAGACCATCTTATTATACAGTGGTGGATATAATGTATATATAAATATAAATACTTATAATTGAATGCAAAATATTGCAAAGCTTAATCTTAGAGCATCAATATAAAAACATACTAATGCTCAAGAAAACATAGAATTAATACTGGAACTAAAACTAAAAACTCCAACTTAGAACTTATTTAAATGGTGCATAAAAATTAACTAAGTAAAAAGCACTAAAAAATTCTTAAACTCAAATATTCTTAGCAACATATTCCCAAAACATACTTACTTAAAGATCATAAAAAACAACTTAAACTTCATATGAAATGGGAATATGCAACCTTATGTGGGCCGTAAACTTATCTGCAATAAAGCACTAATTAATTTACTGATGCAAAAGGTAAAGCAAAACTTAAATCTGAATAATAATAATAAACAATAATTTGGATCAGAATATAGCCCACTTAAAAAAAATTATTATAATTCACTCATGGGCTAACTCTTGCGGCAGAAACAATGCACAGTTGGCCCAACTTATCAATGCTGCATGCCTCTGAGTAACAATTGGAAACTCAATTTAAGAAGTAAATTACTAATACGCTGAACTAGATTATCGAAAACATAAAACTCAATTCAGCCTTTAACCAACTCAGCACGGAGCAGTCCAAAAGCACAGCGCCAGGCCACGGTTCTTCACTTGAAAACCCAATAACAGCCCAAAATAGAAAACCCTAATGTCAAGCGATCTCAACCGTCGATCTTAATCTGATGGCTACGATTCGTCCTGAGCTCATATAAAATATTGGACTAAAACCCAATGGCCCTCACTCTCTCACTCCTTCTCCCCTGCTTCTCACAGCACAGCGCCGCACACAGCAGACAGAGAGGAGCGCGAACCGTGCGGCACCGCGGCGCTCGGCTCACCGGTGCGCGCGTGCGGCAGAGCCACGCGCGGCTCCGTCGAGCCCAGCTGCCTAGTGCCCTTATGCGGTGGAGTGGAGGACAACGCAGGCGGCCACGTGCTCAGCCCAGCAGCGGCGAGGCCTAAGGCCCGCGTGGCTGCGCGCCGTCAAGACGGCGCTCTGGCACGCGGCGGTGGTCGCGCCTTCGGCCAGCTGCGCAGGGGTGGCGTCGGCGGTGCCTACCCTCATTAGCACGCGGTGGGGTCAAGCCATAGGGCTTATACGGCGGCCCGAATTAATCGGCGTGCTTGTGCGCACCCTTATGCCTGCGGCACAGCCAACGGCTGCGACGGCGACCCAGGCAAGAGCATGGATACGAGCCACGTATAGCTGGCAGCGGCGACCCGGCCTAGAAACCGAGTACGAGCCGCACAAGTGCCATATCCACCGTTGATGCTTATGGTTTGGGGAGTTTGATTATGGCTGCTGATTTGATTCACTCCCCTCCTTCTAAATGCTTAACTCACATTAATTTTGTGTACTTTGAAATCAATCGCACAAAATGGCATTTAATCAGAGGCTAATAACTTAGGCCAACATAAAAAATACTGGCCTCTAATTGCCGAACTTAGACATGAATTATTAGACTTAAGGTTAGATTGATTGAAATGTCGTGATGCATGTAATTTCATCTTAATTTCAACTTAAGATGCTCGAAGAGAGAAACTAATTGCTTATGTTTTATGGTAACAGATCATACATCAATCTTAGCCATGCATATATAACCGATGTGTCTTAGGCTTTATTACACCTAATCATGCATAAAAATTACTCTTTAGGCACGAAAATAAAACTGAAATATGCATCTTAGACTTTAACATATGAGAAATTAACTCAGGCATGCAGAAACGATCACGGTAACGAATCTAATGTTAGAACTAATTATACTTTGAACTTGACGAATCAATCTAAAACGTATCTGTTTCAAGTGCTAGTGCCATCTAAACTTATTTAGCGGATCTGATTATGTGCTAACGTCCAACTTAAAAACATAGTAGATTAAAACTGAACTGATCTTAACAGAGGCATAAACAAAACTGACTCTGGCCTAGAATCATGTTAGGACTAAGCAGGCTCTCGATACCAATTGTTGAAATGAAACTTAGACTGACAGGATCTTAACTTAGCCTAAACATGATCACTAATTCAAACTTATGCAGAATGTATTAGTGACTAACCAGAGCCTGTGGACGCCATCTGTATCGTTGGAGATGCGATGGAGGTCGTAGATATAGCAGTTGATTTGAGTTCACCGCCTGAGGACTCGAACGCCCTATGTCGGTGAAGAACGTGAGGAGCCGGGTAGCGGCAGCTTTCTGGACCGAGATGGACCTGAACAGGATAGACGTGGATGACGGTCTTTCTAAGCCCTCCAGCGCCTAATTGACCGGTTATATGAATAGTCATAGGGATGGATGGGATGGAGACGATGGATGGGATGGAGACGCCAGAGACGTCTGCTCTTATTTATAGTTGCGCTGTGGGTCAAAGGGCCGAACCTTTAGAATTCTAAGGGTTGCTGCCGATCACGACAGTTTTTATTTAGTTGAAAATGAATGACGAGTGTGAACAAAAACTTATCACTTAATTAATCTTATAATTAAGTTCAGGATTAGCCGAACCGATCACATTCCAACACAACAAGCCGTACCCCAAGTCGCGCTACTGTTCCCGCTGTGCGTGCACCCGGTGAGCTGGGAGAAGGAGAACGTGTCGAGCGAGGCCCTGGAGGCGGCCCGGATCGCGTGCAACAAGTACATGGCGAAGCACGCGGGCAAGGACGCGTTCCACCTCCGCGTGCGCGCGCACCCGTTCCACGTCCTCCGCATCAACAAGATGCTCTCCTGCGCGGGCGCCGACCGCCTGCAGACCGGCATGCGCGGCGCCTTCGGCAAGCCCACGGGGACGTGCGCCCGCGTCCGCATCGGCCAGGTGCTGCTCTCCGTGCGCTGCCGGGACGCGCACGCGCCGCAGGCGCACGAGGCGCTGCGCAGGGCCAAGTTCAAGTTCCCCGGCCGCCAGCGGATCATCACCAGCGGCAAGTGGTACGTATAGGTGCTTTAATTGTTGCCGTCAGTGGTCATTTTGCTTTATATATGCTCGATCTCAGCCTTTGATGCATGTGTGTTTCAGGGGGTTCACCAAGTTCTCTCGCGCGGAGTACCTGAGGCTCAAGAGCGAGGGACGCGTAGTCCCCGATGGATCCAATGCCAAGGTAACAGCAGCAAAACTACACAGATTGGCTTGGCACCTTTTCTGCCTCGCGTAATTAATTAAGCTGCATCGCGTGTTCATCTTCAAGATTTATGATTCATGGGTCTTACTGATACGATCATACTAACCTTGCTCTGCGCAGCTGCTCACTTGGCACGGGTCTCTTGCTAATCGCCAGCCCGGCAGAGCGGTGTATCCACCCTCCGTCGCAGGATCCGCTTAATAAGGGTCTCTTCAATCTAGCATTGGTCAGACGGGTCGGGCGTTTGCCAGCCTTCGGAATTGCAGACGCACTACACCGGGTTGCTCAATAATACACGAACGTCTTACGTCTACCTGGCGTATGTATGTATATCGGGCGTTTTTTACGGAGATGCAGGACCATGTTTACATGTTTGTACTAGTGCTATGTTTACTTGGAGCTGTCCAGGCCGGTTTACCTATGGAGCATTGTTATATACGGTGCGCACTTACGTCAATAAATAAAGGTGCATTGTTATATACGGTGTGCCGTAGATTATTCGATGTGTATCGTTATTTATGTACAGTACTCTTTTGCCGATCTTAAAACTGTGAGGCTGAAACGGTTCTTAATTAGAGGTGCCCTATCTTTCTAACCACGTTCAGATAAAAAAAACATTAGAAATAATTTCACAGACGCATCTGTGTCCCTGAAAATCAATTTCTAGTCATGGTCAGTGCTTGCAACCATTTCCTACAAATAACTCTATTTTAAGATGTAACACCAACCCGTGGCTAGAATGTTATTTATAGAAGTGTTTGCCGAGACCCCCCCCCGCTTCAGCCCCCTGTTTATATAGATATTTTTTTAGGTTGTCGGAAGCACCAATCGCAATTAGAAATCAATTTCCAGTCACTCATTGGTAATATATGTCCGTACCTATAGAAATAGGTGTAACACCAAAAACTTCATATTTTTAAATTAAGACAGATGAAGATGAGCTTTATTCAAACTTGGAGAGATCAATGAGATCTATAACTTCATAGTCGATGATTTGTTTTTTTTTCTATTTGAAAATGAGTTTCAAGTGACCCAAATATATGTATCAAGGTCTTATATTTTAAATTTCAAATTCTATTTTTTCACAAACATGCCTTGACGATGCATTAGCACGTGTTTCATTAAGAAGAATAAAATTACACCACATAACTACGAGAGGGCTCTTATAGCGGGGGTTACAAACCATCAGTGGTAGACAATCCAAGAAAAAGCAAGGGGGAGGGATTATAAAAAAAAACAGGGGGAGGAGATCCTCAACCACAATACCCAACAAACATGCTGAGCCTATGAAAATAAAAGAAATTGACATAATACTTGTCTATAGAGAAACTCCTAACAATGACGGCCAAGCATCCTCTATTTGGGGGACCTTCTAGCTTTTCAAGCTTTAAGAAGAAGCAAAAACTGATAGAAACTCCTACAAGCATAGCCTAAAAGTACTTAGGTTAAGAGTAGGACATACCATCTGGGAAACATTGTGTTATAGTGACGGTCCAAACTACATAGGGCCTCGAGGACCTATGTCACTTTAGCTACAAAATATAGAAATATAAATGTTGTACTAGAAGATAATGGAAATGTGCATAGACCACAAGAGCATAGCCATACCATCCTCTTCTCATCACACACATAGTCAGCATGTCCTAGTTCTCTTACCTAGTTTTGCTCGAAAAAAGATTGTTCCTCTCCAATTTTGTTTTGAAAAGTGCCACCTTGGTGTGGCTTTCCAGGAGGCCAAGGTGTGCATGGGGAACCCCCACTGGCCACTGGGCCACTGGCCCGTCTGCGATTGTTTCTCTCCATCTCATGCTTTCTCAATCTCTCTCATCCCTTGCAGTTCTAGTAATATTGGTTCATTCTAGAAACACATGATCTCTTTTGTCCCTTGCAATTCTAGTAATATCTGGTTCGTTCTGAAACACATGATCTAATGGTAACAGGAAGTTAGGACATGTGTTGAAGATTCAAGGGATCAAAATGACATGTGGCCAAGTGACTGAAAGATCAAGATTAGTTGCCACTTATATGGGGGATAATAGATGCTCCTTGAAGTTTATACCTCGCAATGGACTACATAATCTACAAGACTAGAACCTCTGGGTTCAAATTTATGAGTCAATCTAAAAGTTCTATCCTCGACCTGGAATTGCCGAAACATAGAGTACAAACTGAATTAAACTACGCCTATGGAATTCTAGTTGGATGCACAAGTTCTCTCAAGTTCCAAATGATGTTTCGAGTCCATTAGCCTAAACTTACTTAACACATTAAGGCTTCTAGTTTGGGTTTTGGTGATCGGTGAACACAAGGACATGTGGTTAACTTTATTTTGAAGGGTTAATGACAAATAGCTTGTTATATTAAGGCCACTTGGTTTTCTTGGTTAGGTGATTGGATTTGATGTATGGTGCAAGGATATTTGGGGAGGCTGTCAGTGCGGGACCCACAGGATACCCCGCAAGGAAGAGAGAAGATCTAGTCTAACTAGGATTCTCCCCATGTAATCTTAGTAGTAGTATTATTCTGTAATCCTACTAAGAACTCTCATTGTAAACCGACTAGGATTCTGACCTCCTACCTATATAAAGGAGGGCAGGATCCTAGAGATCAGGACTTCTACAACGCAACAACACACAATCAATAGAACGCAGAGGCTAAAGCCGACTGGACGTAGGGATATTACTCGATCAACGATCGAGGGCTCGAACCAGAATAAATCGACTGTCTGCTGCGTTCACCGTCGAGTTCCGCATAAGCCGAAGCCCGAACATACTGTCCCAGGTAACCCCGTGGCAGGCTATCAGTGGTAAAACATCGACAGCTGACGCGCCAGGTAGGGGATTTCGGCGAATTTGCATCCGAGAGCTCGATGGACCTCGACAGCATGATCTTCTCGACGGGATCAACTTTCATCTTCGGCTCATGGATCTGCGAGGCGGACGACAATGGCAAGCTCCAAAGCCGTCTCCTCGAGGATTCGAATTACCACGAAGACTATTCTATTTCGGCGACTACGACAGATCAAATCACCGGAAGATTCACGCAGCTCATGATGTCCGATTCAACTCAGGTTTCACGGCTTTGCGCATCCGACTCGAACTTAGGCTCTGCATCCGAGATAGAATCTTATCCTAGTTCTTTTGGGAAACCGAGTTGTTTTCTGGTGGGGCTTAAGAACACGGCCCTGACCTATCAAGAATACAACTCGGAGTACACGCAGAATCTTTTCAAAAAGTCGTATCCTTTTCCGCTCGGACTCCACAACATGGCAACATCTTATCAGACACGGCCCGGAGGATTCCTCGATCCGGTGCTTAGAATGCCACTAAAGGGAGCTCAGGAAGGTCTCGTACTAACTATAACATCTCAAGACTGCATCGTCCACTGGCCGGGCTCTGCTCCTGAGGATAGCAGTATCCGACTGGTCGACACGATGACAATGGCAATTCTACCCTACCAAGAAGGAGACTCGATCTACGACCTTGAGGCCTCTACTAAAGTTATCAGCAACTCCGACAGTGTGGAAACTAACGCCAATAACAGAATAGTTCACGCACGGGAAGTACTTATGGTTCGCCGTCCTCGATCACCATTGGTCCCCCTAGAAGCGCCCGATGTCAGATCATCGGATGAATCAGAATCCAATATATCACCCTTTGCCTAGGGCTACAATGGTGAGACCGAGAATCAGAAACAAGCTAGAGAAAGAAAAAACAAGTTGAAGCAAGGACGCCAACATCGTGCTAGGCAGCGCAAGGAAGCTTGGATCATATATGAGTCAGAGTTGGCCGAGTACGACAGAAGAAAATCACAACGAGAAGTCGAAGAAAGACGCACGACAAATACACCCTACGATAAGATCTGAGAAGCATTAGAAGAACTCAGAGCGACCTCACATCCTAGTGAAAAAGAAGAACAACTCCGGGACTTTCTCTGGTCAGCAACCCTGGGGACGCATGAAGAAAGGACCCACTCAAGACTACCCGCCAGATCAACGACCCATAGGCAAGAAGATCAAAATCAAAGAAAGTCCGCTTTCGAGAGACTTGGACCAAGTGGAAGTCATAACAGAGAAAGTAGAAGGGACCATAGTCAGAGCCACCGGGTTGAACAACCAAGAAAGACCAGAAGCAGGGCGCCTACCCAGACAGCCTCGCAGGATTACTCTCATCAAAACAACAGTTGGCCAGAAGGAGGTGTCAAATCGGAATTCAAAGAAGCCGGAACGCACGATAGATTCCTCTATTTTGCTAACAGACTTGCGTCAATACGACTACCTCACAAGTTCAAACCATCCAACCACTCTAAGTATGATGGCAAAACTGAACCAAGGCAGTGGCTCAGGATATATTTGCAATCGATTGAACTAGCCAGAGGAGACGACGATATCAAGACCCTGTTCTTTCCCATGGCCCTGGAAACCATGCCTCTCTAATGGTTCGACAAATTGAATCCAGGATCAACCAGAAATTGGGAGGACTTGCAAAGAGGTCTCTGTGAAAATTTCGCAGGGATCATTACACACCCAATCACCCACGCAGAGTTAAAAGGACTCAAGCAGAAGGGAGGTGAAAGTCTCAGAGATTACTATCGACGATTCGGCGAACTACGAGCTCAAGTACATGACATCACCGAACGAGAAGTAATTGAAGCTTTCTCTCACGGAATCATGGCTAGGTGGCAATTTCAAGACTTCTGCAAAGAAAATTCGAGAAACAATGAAGAATTCAGACGAACAGTAGACAAGATGATTACTGCGGAAGAGAAGAGATGAGAGAGGTTCCCGGATAGAAGCAATCGAGACAACTCGGACAAACAAAATCATCGAAATAGCAGACATCAGGAAAGAAAACGTAGACCAGACAACACCGTGGTAATGGCTGACAAATCAAAGAAGTTTTACAAACCCAGAAGATATGACGACGTCGAAAATATACGTTGCCCATTGCACCCTAATGGGAAGCACACCATCGGAAATTACTACACCTTGAACGATCGATACACAAGAAAAGATAGTAAGGGGAACACTAAAGAAGACAATCAGAAAAAAGATGAGGACAACCATGAAGACAAGGGATTTCAAAAATCTAGGGGGATGGTAGCAGTGATCTTCTCTAGGGCCCCAGATTCCAGAAGCAAACATCAAGAAAAATTAGCACTATGAACTATCATGGCCGCAGAATCGGCTACTCCGAGATATC